CAATTAAAATCTGAAATCAAAGATCTCAAAAGAAGATTATCTTCTCTTGATAATTCTAACTAAAATCAATTGACTAGCATTTTCTCGTGAATTTTTTGGATCTGGTCAAAATTCTCAAGAAAAGATAAATCTTCTTTTAAGATCTTTGATTTTTTATTTTAATTGATTGATCTCATATTTGAGATCATTAATTACAGTTTCTTTCTTGGAAGAGGATTCAGAATTAAAACGATTTAAAACTTCTTGCAAAGAAAATGGCTTCACCGGAGAAGATTTTTCGAATTTGTTCTTCTTGACAAATTTCTAAATATTTTTCAATTGCTTTTGTTTTAGGATCTGTAATTTGATCAATTATATCTAGAATCATAGATTGAGATTTTGAAAGAACATTGATACTTAATCCATTTATGTCAAGTATAGCATTGTAATAATTTTGTTTCATCATTATCACTAAAAGACTCTTATGTGTCATTTAGCAACGTCTTGCATAATTGTTCTCTAAGATCATAATCTTGAATAATTTCATTAATCTTTTGTTTAGTTAAACATTTGTTAGCATAATGACCAAATTTGCCACATTTGTAGCATTTAATTTCTTTATTATTCTTGGGAGAGGATTTTCTTATAAATTTTTTCTTTCTCTTCTTTTTCCTCTTATTAAATTTGGGATATTTTTTAGTCTTATTACACTTGATTTTTGTAGAATGATTTAGATCAATCACAAAATTTGCTTATAGGCCACCCAGACACCATCCTAATGAAACTGAAAAACCCTACAATCATTGGGATTACATGAGAGAATACGTTTTTATGTCAATATCAAAAAAGAAAACATTCCTGGTTTTTCACATTCTGTTTTCACAGTAATTATTCTGTTAATGATCTACCAAATTGGTTTTACAATTAGATAAAAAGACATGGTCCAATTGCTTAGTTTTTGTCAGAATGTCTTGCCTCTCGATATGACATTTTCAAGCGTCTTAATCCTACTTTATGAGATATTGAAGAACAAATGATCCTCAATTACCTTGTAAGATTTAGTATTTCTTAGGTCTAGACATAAAATTCTGATGCTAATTATGATTCTTAGAATCTTTCCCTGCTTATTCAGAAATTACTATTTTAAATGGTGGGGTAATTTGCCTCGACATAAATTAAAAGCAAAATCTTAACTCATTGACACTGCTTTGAGAATTGGGAAGATGAATCCCAAGTAAAAAACAATTTAAATCCTACCTAGGATTTATTTGATGTTCTCAAAAAACAAATTAAAAAACTAAATCTAGCTCTTACTCCTCAACAACTTAAGACTCATGATGGAGATAATGCAAAATCAGTTAATTGCAGCTTTTCAAGAAGGCAATAAGCCTCAAATCCCACAGCTTAAAGGACCACCAGGACCTCAATCTAAATTCTCTTTATCCAAAGAAAAAAGGAAAGAAATTAAAGAAGATGATCATCAAGAAGATTACCAAGACCCAATGAATTACAATGAAAACGAAGCTATGGAATTGCATCTTGGAGCATTCTAAAATTTGAATGATTTATATTTGAAAATATCTAATTTAATAGACATTAAACAAATTAATCATGGAAAAATAAAGAAAAGATAAGAAAGCAATTTTTTGCCATATTTGAAGACAATGTCATCCATGACATGTTTCCTATCATAATTGAAGATAGCGTCATCCATGACGAATCTCCTACTTTTGCAAAATCAAGATGTGTGTAGTGACGTCACTTCACATCTTTTATTTTATAGTTTTTGAAATCCGGGATTTCAAATCCGGATATCTTTTCTATTTAGAGGGATACCCTCACCCTCGTTGAGGCAAAACTTTTCTTTCTATTTTCTCCACACACTCCCTCGCAGATTCCTTCCACCATTGTAAAGCTTTCCTCCCTTATCTTTATTGCAAGTGTTTTCCATTTTATAATTTAAAGTGTACTTATGCTTTTATTATAACGATCCTCTTATTTGGTATCAAATCCATATGGCAGCTTAAATTTGCTGTTGATATACATGTAGAATGATAAGTTATGTGTAGTAGTATATCTATCCTGCATTTATGTAGACTTTGAAATGCTATCAATATTCCATTCATAAACAGTTTTTTCACAGTATTCCCAATTAGAAGTGAAGAAATTTTCTTCATATAAAATATCCGGAAGGTAGCCCTAGGATAATAGGATCTTGTTGCCGGGTGTTTATCCGCAGTTGGGATTTTAAGCCAATTTTATTGATCTCATTTGATTGTTGCATTTGATGCAACGAGTCTTGAAATTGTTAAAATTGTTTTCTACATGTGATAAAACATTAATCTTAATAGCCATCGGCTGTTTTTGTTTGTCATCTGATTTTTTATTATCAGATTTAATGTTTAAACCAACGAACCTAGCTTGTAATTCATTTAAAAATTCATCATTAAATTTTCTAAAGTTTAATTTAAATCCTTTAGAATTTGGTGGTAGCTTGATATTCACTGCTCCTAGAACTGATAGTTTTAGAGGCAGTGTGACAATTAGTTTTGGAGATTTCTCCAAAGAGTAAAGAATTTTCAATTCTTATTAATTGTTTACCAATTGTTTGTAAACAAATATTGGTATAATTGTATTGTTTATAGATCTTATTAATATCCTCTTCCTTTGATTTAGGACTTAGGAAAGCTGAAGCTTCCAAAATTACTTTCCCACTTTCTTCATTATTTATCAATCTGAGAGGAATTGGTGGAGGATGGATTGAATTTACAATTTTACTATCCTCAGTATCCCATTTTTTATAAAATTGCTCAAGTATATTAATATGAGCTAATTTTGGGTTTTTATAAAATGTTAAAAACTACTGAACAAATGGAATGACTTCTTCAATCAATTCAATTTGGTTGTAAAATTTAGTTTTATAGTATTGTAATTCTTCTGTATTAAAAGAACTAAAATACCAATTACAAAATTCCTCATAGTTAAGATGGTTGAACTCGAAAGCTATTGATTTCCTATCTACTTTGAATTTTTGTGAATTCATATTAGAAACTCCATTTCAAATGCCGTTGGTTCAAATTCCACAAAATCAAAAATAGACTCGTTATCCTGATTATTAGGATGATATATTCCATATGGAATCAAAAGTCTTATATGTTCTTTTCCTTTAGACCTACTAATATTCAAAGATCTTTCTGAGGGAGTGGAAGAAGGATGAATTACCCTATAGGGGTGAAGTGAAAAGGTACTTGACCTTGGTTTATCAAAACTCCTGATTGAAGAACTTATGGATAAGCCTTCAATATTTAATCTAGAGTTTGATCTGAAGCATATTGAATTTGTACATCTTCTTCTGGGGTTTGAGAGATTTGATTTAATTCCCTATTTATTATAGGTTGAGGAGGAACTATAGATTATAAATTCCATGATTTTGGAAAAGTGATATCGTCCCATTTAATAGCTCTATTTTGAGCAATTATAATTTTAAATAATTTGTTTATTGTGATACTTAGAATTTGGGGTTAGGGTATTCATTACTTTATAATAAATTCTATAAGCTATATTGACGGATTCAGTTCCATCAATATAGTTACAGCAAAAAAGTTTGGATATTTAAAGTTAAAACCTCCATTATATTTTTATCAGGTAAAGAGACTGGCAAATTTGAAAAACAATCAAAATAAACGAGGCCAGTCCTCAGACTAAACTCCATTACTCAAATAAGAGATTATTGAAATCAAGATTTCTAACATCTCTTAATGCTAAAATAAAACTTGTATTGGTTCCTAATAAGGTTAGAGGTTTTAATGCAACTTGCACTAAACCTATGTGAAGATATTGATATTTTTATTTATATTTAGTAATTTCCTGATTATTAAACAATTGTAAAATTTTTATAGAAAGGTTTAATTTCTGGCAAATGCCAATTTTGTAGAACATTTTCTACATTTGAAAATTCAATTTCCAAAGCATTTTTAACAAATTCATTTTTATTAGAAAAATTTTTAAGCATTTTTGGTTTTCGAGAAATGTTGATACATATGTATTCTATTTGTTACAATGTTGTAATAATATACTATCCTATAGTATTTTACAGTGATCTGTGCTACAGTGATTTACTATTTAGTGTCTTCTACCTTACCCTCACTCTTTTGTCAACAATTTACCAGAACTAAATCGGCATCATCCTTTCTGGAGTAACAAATATTTATGAGAGTCTAATAAAAGAAACACAGATAAATCACTACATAATAGCATCACTGATCATAAATGCATGACAGACATACTACTACACAAATATAACTTATAGATCTACATATTTATTAAAGAATATGTAAATTATATATATATATATATATATGCTCTCCTCATTGTTATTATTAAATGTAGCTTCTGGCCAAGCCAACGGTCTAAGTGCATGAACAATAGGACATTTCTAAACCAAAATCTGAGTTCTATTCAGGATGAAGAATTAGTTGGACCGACTGACGGCTGGATACTGACAACTAAATGACATGAAAAGTGCAAACCAATGTGACACGCAAAAACCACGATGTCTGACTGTTATGGCACATTACTACACTAATGAAAAATTATAAAATTGGCACTTATGTCGTAACATAATAAGAACATTCACATTGACATTCCTGATGGCATCCAGCACAATGTAGCATTCTAGGTTTTTCTCTCTTACTAATGTGCATCGCATGGGCCATAAAGACACATATTAACCCCCTCCCAAAAAAAAACTAAAAAATTTATAAAGATAGATAGATCTTGCGCATAAAGCAGACAAGATCCAAGTCAACTCAACTATATCTTATCCAAATTATTTTATATAAAATTTATTCCACCAAGTTGATAGACATGAACTACGATATTGATGAGGATCCAAGTAAGATAAGGCTTCTAAAAGTAACAATCTAGTAAAGTGTCTGATAACAATAAAAATCTTAATGGTTCATTCCAGGATAAGTAAAACTAGCATTACATAACTCACATCCTTAAGGTTGAGGCTCAAGTCAGTTACAAGGATCCAAACCCACACAGTACCCGTACCCAAATTTAAGTGGCTACAGAGAGTGATGGATGCTTAAAAAATTAAACACAAAAAAATGACGCTAGCACTGTGCATACCTTCAAAACAAGTTCCTCAAAGCATTGCTCCACATTGACCCGGGTTTTAGCGCTACACTCAATGAAGAGGCACCCATATTCCCTAGCAAAGTCAGTACCCTCTTTCTTGGTGACTACCCTTTCACTTTCCTGAGACAGAAAACTAATATGTCATAGCTTCATCAGGTTGAAATATCCATCATCCTAGAATGTAATATTTGGTAATCTTGTGAGAATAAACAAAATTTGCACCTGCATATGGCCTAACAATAACTATTAGATTCTGAAACACACAATTGTTTGTATTGAATTGCCCTCGCATCCTACTTTAGACGAAGAATTCTAGAAGCAAATTTTAGGCAAGATACCTTATCAACTTTGTTGCCGACAAGCATCTTAATGCAATCTTGATTTGTTGAATAGAGGTCAATCTCTTTAGCCCATATGTCAGATAGATTCGTAAATGTCTCTCGCCGTGTAACATCATAAACTGCTTCAATTCCCAAAGACGCAAAATTAAGTTTGCAATGACTTAAAAATTGACTTTGATTAGACAACTTCTTGTAAAAGAATCTGGACAAACTACTTGTAGAAATCAGGTGAAATAAATCTGACAGATTTTTACTGGCTCAAAATTCAAGATGATTACAACAATAGAAGTGCACAAGTTTGCAATGTAGACAAATCCCGCATAATGCAGAGGAAAATATTTCAAGTTAATATGGTTGACGACTAACGCCCATCATCAATCCACATTTATCATTCTAAATTCTACGGCATGGAAATCAATCAAAAGCAACATTATTAGTAATGTGACAACTGACAAACAAGGTTAAAAGAAAATCCCTACTAACAAACATCAACGAAGTTCTCCATGGATACAAAATTAAAAACTACCAGAAAGTCTTCAAGCTGCTGTTATATCCGACAAGTGGCAATAGAAAATGACTTCCTTTTTCTTATATAAAAGCATCATAACGCAGCTATCTATAAAACACAGTACCATTTAGCTATCAGATAAATCCATTTTACTCATGTTTTAGTCTAACCATTTTTTTTCTTTCTCGTTTTATTTTCTTCTATATTTTATTTTATTTTATTTTTTGGGAGGGGGTGTGGAAGGAAGGGAGGGGAGACCAAAAAAACTTCAGAAGGCAACATATGTGATGTATGTAAATGAGAGTTCAAGAAACAAAACAAAAAAACAGATCTAAAAATCAGGACTATGCAAATGAAGAGAGAAACACATTCTTTAATGTACAAAGATCAACTTAAAAATGTAAAACTTCGGAATCTGTAATCATTTTCACTTTGCCAAGATTAATGTCTTTTGAAATAACCAAATAATGAGTAGAACTGAGACCGAGTCCATCACTTGCATAAGCTTCTACAACTCCATACCTGCAACTATTACTATCTTCCCTTAACAAGACATATTCACAATTCTTAAGCTAGCACAAAAGAGTCCTAGCACAACCATGACTAATTAAACACACAAGATGGAGAAAGTCAGTGAAAAACATTACCCAGCACACCACTCTCCACCTACCAAATAGCTTCATACTGAGCAAGAGCACATATATCTACGAATTTATCGATATGAAGGTAGTCGGCTCAAAGTCTTCAAATTGCACAATAAATGAACTCTTAACAATCTATGTGCCAGACAATATATATTAGACCCTGAAGCAACAAGCATGATTTTACTTGTCCGCTAAACTGAACTAAGCTAATGACACACCCCCCCCCCCCCCCCAAAAAAAAAAAAACATGTACAATATAGAGGGAAAAAAAATCCCCTTGCAAACACAGAGACACTTCACATCCATGATCCATTTCCCAAAAACTTATTGAAAGACTGAACTAGTTCATGTAGTCTCAATCTTTCCACAGTGAATCTTATCCAAAGTAATTTAAGAGCTCACTGTAAGAGCTACGTGGCCCTTGAGTGAGTATCTAATATATGAAATGGAGCAATTAAAAGAAAAAGAGATAGATGTATGATGGAAATTCTTAAACAGCTATATCAAGAACTAATATTGCACTGCTTAAGGAACTTTGCTTAACCAAGTAGCACATTCACAAGTAGGAGAACTAAACAAGACAAACCCTAAAGAAAAGGAAAAAGCATACCCATTATTATACCCTGAGCTCCTCTGTAATATGAACTAGTTAGTGTTCTGAACCTTTCCTGACCAGCTGCAAGGAAAGAAACAGAAAATTTTGCATCCATCAAGTAGTGTATCGTTAAATCATCTCAGTTATAACAGTCAAATAGACAAATGGACAATTCCTAATACAATTATTGATTCATTATGTTAACTCTTTAATGAAAATAAAATAAAGAAATGGGCCCATCTTAATAACACCAACTACCTATGAAAATAAATCACATCACGGATTGTAAGGAAGATGGGGGTACAGCTAACTAAAAATTGAAGTGAAGCCAGTAACTTTTGAAATACAATGGTTTCAGATGAAGATAAAACAAGTTCAGCTATAGAAGCAAAAAATACTGTTCTTTAAAAGCCATTTATCTTGAGGTAACTCTGATGATAAGTTAGATCTTATTGTTAGACCTAAAAGGGACAAACTTAAATTACCACGACAAGGGAAAAAAAATTCCCACGAAATAATTCCCGACAAGCATGAGACCCAGGTAACATGTATAGCTACAAAAGTACATCTCCCAGGATTTATCTAGGACATACAGAGTGTGAAAAGAGGTAGTCAACTAATAACTGGTTTAATGATAATTACCATCATCAAATGTACTTCCTGAAATCAGATATAACTGAGAGTTGACATTTTTGTTATCTGAGAAGCAGAGACACCTTAACCGCAGTCCCATATATTAGAAGCTCACTTATTTGTTTGTTGAATACATGGCATAATTTGATTGTCTTCAAATAATACAAGAATACCCAAATAAATAAATGAGCAGCTCTCGAATACAACACAACATCATTTCTCAATGCATTCCAAAGCTCCCACTGCTGTTAAAAAGTATAAAACAGCCCCAAATCATTGCCTAGAACTTGCTGAGCAAGAATTTGCAGATAAATGAAACATTATTTTTGTGCCTTTTCGCAACATATTGTAAACAGATGAAATTAAGATATACCTTCTGTTTTTCAAAAGAATACAAGGGCAATTACCTGTATCCCAAATAGCAAGCTTCAACTTTTTTCCTCCAATGGTAACATGTTTTACCTTAAAATCCACTCCTATAGAAAGTGGGAGAATATAATCAGTTCAGTCAAGAAGGAGAAAGCAACACTAATAACATATTCGAACCACAAAAAGCAAATTGTTCAGCCATACTCCAAACCAAAACACCAAAAACACATTACATGAAAACAGAAAATCAAAAGTTGTTATTTTAACATCCACAATCTGCAGGTAAAAAAAAAAAAGAAAGCATATTTGAAAACTCCTTCGATACCGATGCCCAAAAATATGCTAAGAAATAAATATGATCCCACAACTAACACTTATTTTCCAAAATACTTAAGTTTCTTTCCAACCAGATCACCCAAATAGTAGCGCCAAAAGTACAACACTTGTGATATAATACACACTAGTTCTTAACTTTGAGTTAATGATGAGATGCTGTTGCCAGAAATTGTTTTTGTTTCTCTACTGTGTTAAGAGCACTTCAGTTGTTGCAAACTTACCCATAATATTTTACAAGAAGCAAAGCATGTAACCCAAATGAAAATTTTAGAGAGGAAAACATGCTAACAATGAGAAGCTACCAGAAAAGGCAAACAACACGAAGTGTGATATGAATGTGCTATTTTCCAATCAATTGATAGACAAAATGATCTGTTTTGATAGATCGAAAGAGATAGACAGGGAATCTATCAAGAATCAGGGGAATCTCCTATTTCTATCTATTGATGAGATAACTGTATTCTTAATCCATCAGAAAGAAATTAATATGTATCTGATGGGTTGACATGTACGCGCCCAAGCTTTTTAGGCCAGCTCAGTTTATGTGGATGATCTCGTAGGCATCAACAGGTTTGAAGTCCAACCTTTGATTTCGTTCCTTACCAAAAAAAAAAAAAGGGGGTTGGGGGTGGGGGTGGGGGTGGGGGTGGGGGTTAGTCTACAACTGCCAATTTAACGATTGCATAAACACTTGGCAATGAATTCAAAAGCGAATATTGCACAGACATTATTACATCATAATCTGTCAAGTGTACATAAACTTGTTGACATACAATTACTGGAGATCACAAATGCAAATGCAATAGTTACCGATTGTAGGAGAAAGATCCTCGAATGTATCGGAAGTGAAACTCAAAAGAAGACTACTTTTACCAACTCCAGAGTCTCCAATCAACAACAACTTGAACAAGTAATCGAATTCTGGCTGGCTCGATGACGGTTCCATTTCAACACTCAATTCCAAACCCTAGAAAGTCTTTTTTTTTTTTTTTTCAATCAGTCACACAGAAAATCAAAAAATAAGTATAAAAATTAAGTCTAGAGAGAGATTACCTGTGAATTGATTCAATTTGATGAAAAAATGGACTCCTCAGATCTGCAAATTCAGCAAAATAATTTGTATATATGTATATATATCGATCCTCTACGCTCGCGTGTCTGTGTATTGATTGAGTGTGTAGATGAAGGTAAAGTGGAGAGAGAGAGAGGTTGCATAAATTCGAAGAAAGCTCTAAATATTAAGTAGTTTAATAATGGCTGAATCTGTCTCCATTCGATAACGTGTTCATTCACACAGAGAGATTAGAATTTAGTGCAACAGGAAATACTCTATTAAGTTATCACCAGCATCACCTGCCGTTAATGTTTAACAAGTTTAGGTACATGATGACAAAACTTGGGGTTGCCAATTGATCAAATCTTTTTGCATTTTTGAGGTTTGAAATGCTCCGTGTGGTACAATGAAAAAATAGAATGATAGAAAATTAGAATAATAAAAAATTAGAGAGATTGATAAAATATCATGTTTGATAATTAAGGAAAATAAGAAGGATGAAAAAATGGATGGATAAACTTTTCTTCTAACTCATTAAAATTAATCCCTCCAAAATTAAAAAAAAAAGTTGATGAAAAGTTAATTATTTGTCTTAAAATTTATCTTGTCTGTCTATATATCCTTTGATATATACATCTATTGTATTTATCAATTATATATTATGTACAAATTAATTTCATATATAAATATAATGGTAAAATATGTATTTGTATTTTTTTTTAAACTTAAAAAAAAAAAAAATTTCCATCTTACCAAGCACAAAAAAAATTAATTATTTTTATTTTTCATTAATCCTACGAAATACAAAGGAAGGAAAATATATCATTCCTATTTTCATTCCTTAGAAGATAGAAAGTGTATCCCTCCTACTTTTTATCCAATATTTTGAATAACAATTTCGAATTCAATTTGATTATATTTCACCTTTTTGTTAGAGAAAAACGATCAAACAATTTTCAATCATGATTCTTGCGGATCAGATCATCCATATAATATACAAAAAAAAATTACAAATATCTAATATATTTCTCTTTAAATAAGATCTCAATTCTAGCGACGGTTTCATTAGATATCTTATAATTATCCTATTTTTCATCATTCATACCAAACAGAGCTAAGTTGTGATCAAATTGTGTGGTATGTGTCGATCTGTTTATGAAAAAGTAAATATGTTTACCACTTGAACTCATACAACTAAGAATTATCATGTTGGACTAGCTTCATGTCAATATTGTGTTGGATTGGTAGATCGTGTTAAGAATTATCAATTCCAATGAAACTCATTAAGCAAATTACAAAGAGATGGAAAAAAATCTTATTTTGTCAAATATTATTGGCGTGATATACGCACATGGTCCATTGCGTGATACATGCACAACTAGCTATTGTTTTCTTCTTCATTTTGTACAAATTTTATTTCTCGAATAACACATAATCTTAGACTATCTCCAACAATGCTATCTAAAATAGCTACTCAAAATATATTTAAATATTATATTATCTACTTTAATTAACCACTTTTTCAAATTTACTCCAAAAATACTATCTATTTTAGCTAACCACTTCAACTAACTTTAACTAACTTTCAATAATAAAATCTAAAATACTATATAATATGTCAAGTCATCACTATATGATCTCTGAATTTGGTCCAACAATCACAAATATGGAAGAAACCCCAATTCAAAGGCAATTCAATAAAACTCAATTCAATATCATACCAAAAGGAACAAAATAATTTAAGTTCTCCATACCATAAACAATCACTTTTTTGGGCGGATCAACACTTTCATACCTTGACTAATTATAAAATCACATGTTACTGTATACATAAAAATATACACAATGGACAAGTCGTCCAACCAAAACCCAAAACAACAAAAAAAAACCCTAGAAAACAATAAAAAAATCTAAACCTATAATTCACTAATTTAACCATCAACGTAGTTTTACACAATACCCATTAATTCACATACGGAAATAGACATCAATGAGCAAATTCAACCCAAATTGGAGCAATAAAATTTAGAGTAAATCTCGAGACACTGGTCAGAGGAAGTAAAAAAAATTGCTAGTCCTGGTTGTTTCTCACTATTTCTTTTCCTCATTATTCTTTTCGCTTCGCCCAGAAGCACACAGAGAAAGTATGTACCTGATTTGTGCCTTTGACTCTGAAGCAGTTCTGAGAGAGAAAGAGCTTTGTTAGATTGATTTGAAGCAGCAAATTGAGTTTGATCGATTGATTTGGGATTTAGGTTTTGTGACTTGAGAAGCGCATGCGCATAGAGAGTCTGAGAGAAAGAGGATTTCAGGGTGCTTGTGGCTTCACCGTCTGTGAAGGCTTCTAGTTCAATCGATAGAGAGGTAGCGAGAGGCAGAGAGAGGCGAGAGTCTGGTGCCAGCGAGGGAGATGTGGGATAGCTAAATGTATCGAGCAAAAAATAGGTAACGGGAAAATAGATAGCCAGATAGCTAGTCTATTGGAGCCACTTTTGAAGGAGAAATTATTTAAAATAGCTAAGGGGAATGGTTTACCTAGCGTGTTGGAGATGCTCTTAGCTTAGAATTGTGCAACCTTAGCTCTATATATTGTTTGTACCGTCAATATTCAATTCAATGAGGAAGTATTCTTCTCCATTCAAAATGCAATATTATATTTCCTTTCAAATATTAATAAAGTTTTGGTGTAGTAATAAGATTGTTTATTATGATCTAAAATATCATGGATCCAAAACACAAAAAATATTCTCTTCAAAAGTGAGGATATCGCCGTTTAATACTTTTAAAATATTATAATGACTAGAATCTCATTCACTAGATTATTTGCTGAGCAACTTTTAATGTTTTTAAGAATGATGGCATGTGCCCTTTTTAATGAGGGAATGCCCTATCAATTACCAAATAACTATTTATATATATATACTATTAATAAAAGTGACATGAAATATTTTTTTTTTTACCTTAAAAAATCCAAAAAAAAAAAAAACACTTATATTAGCTTTGTTCACTTTTCTGACCGATGACCTAAACGTTGTTGGAAAGTGAAAATACATTAATTATTATGCTCCTTCGTCTCTTCCAAGTTCCAAATTAGAAGACCTTTCATCAAGAAGACTCCTTCGACTCTACACCTTTCCTAAAAATAATCTCTGGCTTCGTACTTTCAATTCCATTTTCCTTTTAATCTTAGCTCTTGTATTATAACATTGTTTCTGAATTGATGGGAACTATCGATTGGTTTGCTGTCCCTCTTATGAGGATAGTTTTTCTATGGTAGTTTCTTCTATTTCTATTGTTGTTTATGAGAAGACATCTTCTTACTATTGGGTGGTTTTGTGCATATCAAAAAGTCGAGCATTGAGTTCTACTTCAGTGATATTAACCTTCCGAGGGATAAGTTTCTCAACAACACCCTTAGTGAGAGTCAAGATGGCAATGTCATTGTCTTTGTTAAGAAGTTAAGAAGAAGAGACTTGGAGAAGAGGAAAAGAAATTTTAGAAATAGAGAAAGAATATATGTTCACATTAAAATGAAACGAACAATTACATCACCTATTTATACACCATCCACTCCACTATTCTCATTACATGAAAAGAAATAACCAACTTCGAACTAACTCTAACTAATTACAAGTAAATAATTTGGCAGCTCAGCTTAGCTAATCTCTAACCAACTCAAGTCTTCTGCTTCTGTGCTTGCAGTTGTAACACTGTTCTGTTACACTGCTTCATTGTAAGCTGCAACTGCTTCAATAGTCCAGTATCTGCGTCTCCTTATAATGTTGTAGCTGCATTGTTCTTCACCAATCCCTCTCAAGATGGAGAGTGAATATTGAGAACTTCCATCTTGCCTAACAAAAATTTGAATTGATGAATACCAAGAGGCTTAGTAAAACTATCACTAAGCTGACCAGCTGAAATGACATGAAGGGTCTTGAGAATGCCATGCTAGATTTTATCACGGATAAAATGGCAATCAAGCTCAATGTGTCTGGTTCTTTCATGAAAAACAGGGTTAACTGCTACATGTAATGCAGCCTTGTTATCACGGAAGGTAGGGATAGAATGAGAAATCTGAAGATATTGAAGCAGTGCAATGAGCCAAGTGATCTCATAAGCAGTAGCAACCATGGCTCTATATTCTGCCTCAGCTGAAGAACGAGAGACAGTCACCTGTTTCTTGGATTTCCAAAAGATTAGAGAGACTCCCAAAAAAATGCAGAAGCCAGTAACAACCTGTGAGAGTCTGAACAGCCAGCCCAGTCTGCATCACAAAAGCCTTTGAGATGAAAAGAAGAAGAGGCTGAAAAGAAAAGACCCTGTAGGAGAGGTTTTTAGATATTTGAGAACTCTGAATGCTGCATCAAGATGAGGTTGCCTAGGCTTATCCATGAATTGACTCAGAATTGGCACAACAAAGGAAAGATCAAGGCGTGTGAGAGGCAAGTATAACAGTCTACCTACCATTCTTCTGTAGATAAAGGGGTCTAGGAGAAGAGAACCAGTATCTTTTGAGAGCTTGAGGTGTTGTTCCATAGGAGAATGAGCTGGTTTGGAACCAAGGAGACCAGAATCCTGAAGTATTTCAAGAGCAAATTTCCTTTGACAAATAGAAATTCCCTTAGAAGATCTTGCAATTTCAAGTCCCACAAAAAACTTTAAAGGACCAAGATCCTTAAGATGAAACTGGCTATGGAGAAAAACGTTAAGTGCTGCAGCTGCATTAAGATCATTACTGGCAATGACAAGATCATCCACATAAACCAATAAAGCTATAAAACTGGAACTATTGGTATTGGTGAAAAGGGAATAATCTAATTTAGATTGAGAAAACCCATAAGTAAGGATAACAGTGGATAATTTGGAAAACCATTGTCTAGAGGCTTGTTTAA